AGAAAATGAAAGCGAAGATAGGACAGCGATAGATATTAGGTAAAGTAAACTATGGAATCAGATCAAGAAAGGCTTACGAGGAAACTTATGATTCCGACATCAAAATGTAAATGTAGTATAATATGGTTGCGACTGAGGTTTTTGGTCTGAAATGCCTCCTTAGCCCAGTCTCAAAAGATTGGCGATAGCGTTTTGGTAATCCATACAGCTTATCTGCTATCGTTAATATGTGAGACCAAGGTGCCATTATTGCAAGTCTTCCTTTTTGGAGAGAACTATGCCTATTGTGCAGTAGATAATAATATTATTCGTACTTTTATAATTCGTAATAGACTTTAGAGCAATAAAGCGACGTGCCTGGTACGAGCAGTGAGGTCACAAAAACTTCAACAGCCTTTTCCTGAAATTGTGGACCGCGCTCAACTTGACAATAATTTGATGAATAGAGCGAGATCGGCTTATATGGTCGGGCAATTTCACCGCTCCTGGATTTGGCATGATATTATCTGCGGTCAATGTACGATTGTTTTACCGCAAATATTGAAAGCTCTTTGGTTGGTTTCTTTCGACATTTTGCTTCCTTTTGTTTATTCAAGTTACAAAAAATAATTTCGCTAAAAATTCAGCTCTGGGTAAATTTAGTAGTTGCATTTTTGTAATACAATACACCTATGTTCGTTATTGTGTTTTTCTAGTAATTTTATCATCACTTTAAACGATACAGAATGGAATCCAAAGGTTATACTAACTCAAGCGGATTTTCGTAACAATGAAAGTAATCGATGGAGAAAAACAGTTACAAAAAATATGATGAACCTATTGTTTAACGTAAAAGCATTTTAATGTCTACAACGTGAAGCTTTAGCAACCTAATCACATGAAAATAAACCTGAAGGTAATCTGCTTACAGATCTTTAAGTCAATGCTGGCTTTATAAAACAACAGGCAGTTAAAGTCTCGTTAGGAGTACTCAGCTACTTTTTTTGTATAATGTCTTATGTATAAAATTGAGATATTTGGCACGACCTAGGATGCTTTAGTTCACTAGGAAAGGAAATCCTGAAAATGTTTTGCCAAAATTTTATGCGCGTATAGTTTTGCTAGCACAAAGCCAATAAGAAATAAAGAGTAAAGTAGGAATAATAATATAAATTCTTTCGTTTCTTACTGCCTACAATAAATACCTATGTAGTTAGTAAACACACTTTATATCTAAAGTTGTACGCTTATTAAATAACACCTGTCGTCTAAGTTTTGCGAGAAAACATCTTGTTTTATATACCGCTTAATCATGCTCGGATATGCCTGCCTAACAAAATAAAGGATGAGTACGAGCAGTATAACGTAAGTCACAAGTACGCAAAACAACAGTTGCAATATGTTTGAAAAAAATAAATTCAAGAACATGCCAAAAAAATCTTGTCACGTTCTTAATATTCGAACAGACAGGCAATGTGTCGATGTGGGCACTTTGATTTATTTGTTCGATACACACTATGTTCGACTGATATTAGAAGTTTGGGAGGCACACGTTTTTGTGAACGCAGTTAGGTTTTTATATAAACATGAGTACTTTCACATTTACAAAAAAAGCTTTTCAGTAAAATATATATATACATGTACCTACAGAGTGTTTTTTAAATGGGACAGCATGGGAAAATTCGAAACTAGAAAAGATACAAGGAAACTGTCTTAGGAACCATTAAGCCTTTTTGTGAAAAGAATTTCGGCATGGTCAATTTTTTGGTCAAACGTGAGTTGTCTACAAAAATGAACAAAATTGATTAAAATTTTTTTAGTGCTAATAGACTCAGTTTCATGAAGGGATCATTTCATTGTATGAGACGAAAAAAATTAGGAGAGCCGAAGTTGGCTGGCCGAATTTCATAAAATATTTTTCGTACAATTTGACTGAAATTGACTATTTAAAAAAAATATATAGCTGTAGCATTAATGCTAGACTCAATTTCTAAAGAGAATGCTTTTATTGTATGGGAACATAAAATCGTGAATCAAATGTAATCAACTAAATTTAAATGGGACCAATATTAACGTAACCTCTTTCCAACAAAAAAGAATCATAAAAATCGGTCCACAAACGCCAGAGTTATCGCGTAACATACCTACATACAAAAAAAATATACAGTCGAATTGACAACCTCCTCCTTTTTTTGAAGTCTGTTAATAAAATGCATAATATATTCATTACGCTGACGTCTGCCATAGAAGGCGAAAGGAAGGCGTGAAAATTTACTCCGAATTTGTTTCCCACTTATTCATGCTCAACTCCAGTCTGTTGCTTGGATTGACCACCAGAAAATAGTAACCCATAAGCCAAAAGCCACGCTGCATTAAAATTCTTAAAACTTTAAACCGTATCTATCTCTCTTATTCAACCATTCTTAATACCTTATCTCTTTTATTGCTATTACACGTAGTTACATACGTGATAGAACTCTGTTTCCGTTCGATTTTTAAGCGACTAATAAAACATTTGAAAGCGTTGAAGTTTTACACATAAAAATTTAGAACGATCTGCATCCGCTATCTGTTCCTTTCTCCACAATAAACATTTGAATAACAGACGTTTACGTGTTTCTGATACACAACAACGTTATTTGGTTGCAAGTTTACTAAATATCTGTACGTCTTTAGTTGGAAAGTTAGTTGGAAGAAGTTTCTAGTCACTTGTATTCCTATAATAGTTGCATATTCAGCTAAACCTGAAGATTTGTTGAAATCGCTGTGTCATAACGCAGAAGCATGAATGGAAAAACTGTGTATAAAAGAATGTTCAAGAACGATTTGTAGGAGTAATTCAAATAGCTGAATATAGTTTATTAGGATTATCTGCCGCGTTAGAATTAGTTTTGAATAGCACTGATAACTTGGGTCCAGTTAGCTCAAGATCGGGATGTGTGGAGGGATCAGGAGGTAGCCTTTGCCCAGCTGTGGGTTACATCAGACTAAATATATGTATGTACTCGTATGTAACACTGATAACACCTTTACCTGCTTGCACTGCATTTTTGTTTAATTTAGGGCACTTTTTCGTTTTGGTCGTTTGAACCTGGTTTAAACCAAGGACCTATGGATCGACGAAGCATCGAGATTGACATTGTTTACTTTCGATCCAAAATATAGATGCAACGGTTTTCAAGATAAGCATGCTTTTTAACCGACTTCAAAAAAGGAGGAGGTTCTCAATTCGGTTGTATGTTTTCTTTTGGTATGTATGTTACGCGATAACACTTTTTTTGTTGGAAAGAGAACCTCAGAAGTGTTCCCATTTAAATTTGAAGACAATAATTCCACTTCTAAGGGTGGCAAACTAGGGGATGAATGACTTTTGAGGTCGGTTTTTCTATGTAATAGTTTAGACTTGGGATCAAGCTTGTTGTAAATAGAAATTTATGCAGAAAATAGAACGTAAGTATTTATAAAATGTATTACAAAAACTGGACACTATTCTCTCAAGTGCATCTAATAATAATAATAATAATAATATCGTTTATTAAAGACAACAAGGCCCACTTTGTATTAGTAACAGACTTATAAACTATGTTAGTAAATTATTTCTAACTTAGATCTAGTACAATTTATGAGGTGCCTCATTAGAGGCCCCTCCACTCTATCAGCAATCATTTTGAGGATGCTGTTGCTACTGTTGCGAAGTCTGTTCAGCAGAGAAGCTGATTTCTTTCTTATGATTGCTGCGAAAGAATCCGTCCGCGCCTCAGCAAACATGGAAGAAGCGCTACAGAACTTCGGCAGACGCAACAGCATCCTAAAAGCATTGTTGTATTGGGTGCGGAGAGCAATGTACGACTTTTGCGTGTGCCTATTCCATAGGCTGCCCGCGTAAAAAGATGTACAATAGGCTTTGAAAAGAGTTACCTTAACTTCAGAAGATAATAATTAACACTTATTTTCTTGTAGATATGCTTTAATTCGACGAGTGTTATGTAGGTGGTAAAGTATAAAGGTCCTTGATTGCACAAACAAATAATTAGAATGATTGAAATAAATTAAACATTCGGTTTGTTTACATGTTTTATAACATGTCCTATAAACAACATCCGTATAATAAGAACTCTGTGACGTGTTAGTGGGTATTCTTGAAAAGCGCTTATAAACCACAATATCTAAAAATTATTGACTGGTATGATAGCTAACAAACACCGCTCGGTATCTGCTTAGTATATCTCTCACTCTACTCTGAAACATTGTCGCAGCGCTAGCTTATGAGAGTGTTTGTGGCGCAGTGAAAACTCAAAGGGGGAAGTGAAACCAAAAACTTAGTACCGCTATTAGCAGAAATTGTCTGAGTGAACATTCTTTGGCAAAAACAACATAATTTTAAAAGTAATCAGTGTCTGTGGTGGTAAAGAATGAGTACTTAAAAGAATTCCAATGTCTTAAGTTTATACTTTGTAGGTATGTGTGGTATTTAAAAAAAATCAAAACTAGTTTCTAAATGTATCCTACACTGCTGACTGCAGGTTTAATAAACTTGAATGCACGCTCTCGCTTAATTCCATTTGGGACACGCTATCGCCAGTTCAATGTAGAACAGGACTGACAGGCGCGAATAAGATGACGGTTTTCCTCGTTATGCCGACGCGACCTCCCGTACTTTAGTGCGCATTACCGCCCTTCACCGTACTGATAAGATAAATTAGCCATCACTTCATTAAACATCTAGCCACGTTGCTAATTCGAAATTCCGTATTTAGCGATAAGCACTTTATCAGAGCACAAGACTGTAAAAACCACATGAAAGGTACTCTGCTTTGCCAATACCAATTATACATTAATATCGCGACGAAAGATTCGTCATAAATTTAGCTTGATTGCTTATTTTATATGAAATTTATTTTATTTCTTCATCTGCCAACGATATTTGGCCGGCAATGTATGTCAGAACTTTAAAATTATTAAGTTTGTGGCTGACATCAAAGGCATCATACATTCAAAAATTAAATAAATAAGTAACTCACCGTGTGTGTAGAGTGGTGATACTTTGTATTTGACCGCAGCAGTGCAGGCAATCGCGCCAGTGCCGCCACCGAGCTGCAAGCCGTGTGATAGAATCTGGACGATGGTTCCTACCACAGTAATAGTCCACCCCCAGCCCCCTTCAGGGTAATAGCGACGGCAGAGCGTGAGGGCGGCACGTGCGCGCAGAGCCGCCGCCGTCTCCGCGCCCACACTCGCGCCTGCACTAGCGCACCTGACACACCACACACTTTAGAAAAAACTACTCAAAGGAGGACTTATCTGTAGGTGTATCTACTACCTATTACACCATTTGATAAGTCCACTTTTGAGCTCACATTTTATGAATCTCAACTAAGGAACTGCACTAACCGACGAAATTGCGTCACTTCTTTCGCAGCTTCGTATCCGACACTCTTAGAGCGCCCGCGCTCCGCAAACTTATTACTGCTTGTGTTTTGGTCCGGTGTATTGAATCGCACTGCAGTAGCACCGCATGTACACAACAATTCCTCAGTTGTGACTCTCGGGGAGTGTCTTTTAGGAATGTAATTTTGGCGACAATCACACTCTGGGGTTCTCCAGGAGAGAAGTCGTTGGAGTAAAGTCCTTCGGCGCGCTGCCCCGCGATCCATAGCTTCTGCTTGGGTCGGATCCAACGGGAATGATGAGCTTCTATCCACCTCTTGATTGACTTCAATTTGCCGATTACTATAAGTGATTTTCTTACGTCCATTTCTATTGTTACACGCGAGAGTTGGAATGAGATTGTGCGTAATGGGTTCCTTTTTGTTCGCTCCCCGGTTGGGTGGCTCATTTTTTGCAAGGAAACCATTTTTTATTCTCTTAACGTCGGTGTTAAGGGAGTTCCACGTAGCGATAACTTGGTTGCGGTCAGAAGTGTCGTTAAAATTGGGGTTAGTTCTGGAGTCGGGGATTTTTTTTTCAGGTTTAGGGTCGGTGCCGGCAGAGACAGGCACCTCTCGGAGCCGCGTGGGCAAACTGTCACACCGGCGGAGAGTCATTGTCACACAAGTTCGGTGGGCTCATTTTTAAAAACCGACGTACGCGCTGTATTCACTACATTTCACTTACTGCGCGCATTTAGATCTGAAATTAAAAAAAGCCATTTAATTTTATTCTATTCGTATCGCATTAGAATTTCAATGAAATGTTGAAGTGGACGATTGTTGACTTTTGCGATTTATGATTGTCTGGGTAGTTCTAACTTTTTTAAATTACTGAAGATCGAACACATAGATTTCTTTTTCTTCGACCCGGTGGGACTTGAACCCACGTCCCTGCTGCACCGTAGCATTGCTCTTTGTTGACCGAACTGTGGAAATTCCGACTTTTTTGCTGCTCTTTGTGCTGGGCGAAAGCCAGTACAAAGATCTATAATAAAAACACATCGGAGAATTTCGACGGCTCGGTAACTGGACCCGTAGTTCAGTTGGTAAAAACCAATGCTACGGTGCAGCATTGACGTAGGTTCAAGTCCCATCGGGTCGAAAAAATGTTTCTTTGTGTTCGATCTTTCTATTAGTAATCATAACAAAACTAGTGGAGTTATTTCACAAAAAATATATCAATAATAAATTACTGAATTTTTTTACTTACAAAAGTAGCTTTAGGTAGTTAATCAATTTGAAGTTAAGTTTCTCATTTGTTGTCAAATGAAAGATTCATTAGCAAAATAATGTCATGCAAATTTGTAGCTTTGGTGAAGTATGGGCAACAAGCGTTGTTGAGCCTTTTAGATCCGCAGAGATCCGGTGCGTAAAATATTTGCGTCGAATAAATCGCTGTATTACTCGGCCTTGATCTGATTTACGCTGGTCATTGGCTGAATCTGTTCTACCCTAAGGATTTCGCGTTATAACGCCTTGGTACAAAACGTTATCTGATGTTTTTGGTTCTATAGGCCTAATGTATTTTCTATTTAGTACACAATCCGAGCACGATAATAAACAACTAAAATAAATATTTTTTTCATAAACAAAAGCCGTAGTAGCATAATGGTGTGACCTAAAGCCTCTCCAGGCCGTGGTTTCGAGTTCGGTCTTCTCTGAGTTTCTAGGACTTTATGTACGATATTTAATTTGAAGTTTACCATGAAAAAAAAACAAGTGAAGGAATAAATTTATAATGAAAAAAAAACAAGTGAAGGAAAACATCGTGATGAAACCTGCACGACGAAGAGTTCACAACCCTCGGAAAACGTGTGAAGTACCCAACCCGCGTTGGACCAGCAGCGTGGTAGATTATGGCCTGAACCTTCGCCCGAGAGAAGACCCGTGCCCAGCAGTGGGACGTATAATGGATTGATCATGATTATGATTGAAAGTGCTAATAATCTGAAAGTACGACAAGCATATTTATACTTATATTAATTTAGAAAATTTGCTTATACTTCAAATTATGTCAAAAGTATATACAGAGTGTATGTGTACTTAAATACTGTTTTCGACTGTTTGCTTTTCAATATAACTTTCGATTGTCGAAAGGTGGTTAACATAAAGCGACAACGGAAATACGTGTGTGGGGCAATGAAAACGAGTTCCAAATTTAACTTAATCGGCATTTACTCAGCCAAAGAAAAAAATGCAATTTAATATGATAATCGACTTAAATCCACGTCCGTGCTGCACCATAGCATTGCTCTAATCATCGGAGCAAGTCCCGCCGGTTCAACGAAAAATTTTTCTGTGTGTTCGATCTTTGTATTCATAACCATAACAAAACTAGTGGCGTATTTTAATATAAATAAAAATAATAATAATATCTATAGTAGCGGAGAATTTAATACACACTATTTTTATTTCAACATGTACACTTCCCAAAGTGACGAACTACTAGTGGGTCCTGAAATATAGTTCTTCTCCGCATTGTTTTGGTAGGTTAGTGAATGAAACAGAGTCAATAATTTTGCACTTGTGAAGTAGTTGGTCGTTCATCGAGAGAAGTACTGCCACCGTACCTATTTCTGCTGCCAAGCAGTAACGTGAACCCTACTGAGTTCCGGTTTTGAAAAGTGTGAAACTACAAACATACGGGACTAGTCAATTTTATATTTTAGGGTGACGGGTGCAGTGGCCAGTGCCTCTTATATCTTTGCGAAATAAAGCTCAAAGTGGCACTACAACTGTTCTGAGTAGGTGAGTCGCTTATCATCAGGTGCATATCATATGGTGCATAGCATATCAAAAGATAATAAATAAGAAACGCGGGTGTCATGGACACACACGTGGACAACTACAAATTATACCCAAACTCACGAGAGAAATAAATGTAGGCCATACAAATATTTCTTCCGGTCCGGAATCGAACACGGGACCTCTGCGTGGCAGACTATAATGGTAAGCGTTAGACTGAGGAGGCAGTTTTTTTTTAGCAGTAATTACTGGGTCTCTCCTAATTAGACATGGTTAATATAACATACAGCTCAAATTATAACGTTAAATTAAAAAATAACTACAGCAATTATAATTTTAAAGAAATAAAGCTGCTAAAAATATAACGTAGGTACTTTTTTCACTTTGGACTGGAACATGGTAAGAAAATTTAAATAAATGCGACATAATCTTACAAAGTTTCAATCGATCACTATCAATCTACTTACGTAGCTAGCAAACAAAATCCTTTTTTGTCCTGAGTTATCTCCCTCAATATTTCATAGATAGCACTATATTCTATGTGAAAATGGAGAGCTAATATCTAATTGTTTCAACCAATGACCATGCATGAGCCGCAATCTTTCATGGTCATTGGTTGAAACAATTATTACGTGTAACACTTTCACATGTTATTTGTAGCGTTTGGTGCGAAACGCCAAATAGTTGATTGATTTATTGTTGCTAAATTTCACGCTTGATTACGTTAAGCGTTAATGCTAATGCTATATTTTAGCACTTAAGAATCGTTGCAGTTTTAGGTATGTTATAATGTTTTGGTTAAGTTAAATTAAATTACGTTTTTGTACGATTTTGAGCTAATGGTGGAATGTTGTCAAAATTCTGTCTATTGAAGCGAATTAAATTAAGATCTATTTACTTGGATTTATTTAATTAGTTCAGCATTTCTTTAATTAATGAGTTATTGTAATATTTGTTAAAAAAATATCAAATCTGTAAATATTAGGTAAACAAAAGATGGCGTAAACAAACAAAAGTGAAAAAAGTAAAAAAAAAACAAAGAGAGAAAACCTGCAAGTATAATTAACTGTATACGTATATGTATATGTATATCCATGAAATGAATCAATCAATGAACTTTTGAATACGCCTGTAACTTATATTTGCAATTTGGTACAGATTTAAATAAATTAAACTAGATCACTTACACACAGTCCTAAGCGTGTTAAAGTATGAAGGGAAACTCATTGATTTATCTTATAAAATATTTATTTTTAATTTATACTTAGTTACAAAATTAAAAATAGATATTAAGTCGGTGGTAACTAACCATGAGAACTCGTAGCCTATTCAAAGATAGACCATAGAAGCTATAACTTAGCAAGTTAATTCATGTCAACTATTTGGCGTTTCTTGCTATTCGTTAAAATGTCACACGATCTTGAACTGCTATAATTTTAACACTTGAAATAGCGCGCCATAAACATTTAGCATTTAGCGCGCCATGGGAATATATCTTTTTTTTATTTTTTTTTTATATATATAATAGACACACGCTTGGCCACAATCTCACCTGATGTTAGGCGACGATGTGACCGACGATGGGACGCGTTTGCCTAAAAAATGCCTATTCACTCTAGCCTTGAATAGCCCCAAATTGTACTTTTCGGGAAATACAGATGCCGGTAGAGCATTCCATCAGTTTATCTCAAGTCAATTTGTATGTTATTCGAGGCGTTAAATACATTTTAGAAGATATTTGTCTGTATAGTCCCTTCTTAAATCTTGTACGATACTCTGTTTGCTCACTCGCTTTAAGATTTATTGTGAAAGATTTACAGTTTGCCAATTTAACTTCTTATCTTGTTTTTATTCTTCGAGAACTCAATTAAAATTAGATGATACGATATTCAGTTAAATGTTATTTGATGATATGGTACTCTTTTTCTTACATACAATTCAATGTACATTGTATAGTAACTGTATCCACATACTAAGCAAATTTGGTTTTTGACTTCAACGGTCATAGGAATTCCCAGCATGCAGACTTATTATTCCCTGAACGCTATGACTTGGACCTTTTCAAGTCGAGTGTGATTGGGCATTATTTAGGTGTGTCCATCAGGTGAGATGGAAGTCGAATGGGCACTAATAATTTTTGTTATAGAAAAAAAGCTAAACAACGTATAAAAGAGTTGCAATCAGTTTTTTTTTTAAACTTTTTGAAGGTAGGCTGAGTTAATAGTCAATAAAATTCTCTAGGTACAGTACGAATTAAACAACCATTTTCTCATAGTCATGTAGGGAAAGCAAAACGTGTTTATCTGTTCGAATAAGAAATGACTGATATTAACAGCAAACGTGGGCGAAACAGCAAAGTTTTCAGACTTCATTCCATCTCACTGGCCATTCATATTCAGTAATTACATGCGCGGAATCTTTTGTTGCCTCATCGCTTTGGCAGACAATTGAATTTCAAATCTTTTTGTTACCCTTGGATGGTCCCAGAATCACTTCTGTGAGAGCCTTTTATTTAACTAAATGCTTTCTATTATTCCGTATATTAACATGTCTGGCAGAGCAATCCCAGGCGGGATCCGGTGGCTTCGAGTTTGTTTTGACGCGAAAAAATGTAATTTCACCCTTTTTTTCCGCCGCAACTATTATTAGAAGTAACAATCACGTATATTTTTAAATTTTAATTAAAATAGTTGGCAGAGACTGAGCAGTCAGTCTTACGTCGATCAGATGTTTTCAGTTTCATTTATAAAATTAATG